GGTTGAGAAGTTAAGTTCCTTAGAAACTGATCTTAGCGCAAAACAGGCAGCGCTTAGTTTCTTTGATAAAGCTATTAATAATTAATAATTCAATATTATACAACTCGAAAAAAATACACAATCACCTGCCATTTGAAATCAAATCCATAACATCATTTTCTTTATTTCGCAAAGCATTACCTCTTATTTACTAGACAAGGCTTTCTACGCCGTAAATGAATTATATTTTGAAAATCAAATTTGATCTTGTAAACACTGGTCTAATGTTTGCTATTGCTATATTTACTAATGACATCGAAATTAATTTATTTAGAGGTCATTGATATTTTACTATAAACTAGCTAAATATTTTTGAATATTATTTTTATTTTTTTGTTCTTTGACATTATAAACATTTATAAATGTTTATTTTAAACAATAAGACTGACAATATTATTTGTATAATGTTTTGTATTATCTTTTGTTTGTTTGTTTACATTACCTTTGTCTACAAAGTGAATTTCTTTTTGACAATAACGGCATATATTTATTTATTTATAATTGCCTGTACATTTCCGATCAATTTTAAATTATTAGCATCTGTACAATGATCTTTATCAGCAATAATAAGCCATAATATATATAATAAAGCCATATGTCTTTAAAATCTAGTTAATTTTAAAAATCTTCTAGTTTGTCGAACATATTTTTGATTTCAATTTTTACGTAAAATTTCATAAATACCCGGCCTTGCCATTGGAGGTGTTTTATTTTGTGGAAAAATAATGACACATGAGTAGCTCTGTATATTATAGTAATGGCACTGTCAGAAGGATGCTTAAAGGTTTGTAGGTTCAGAATACTACATTATACAAAATAAAAACTTGAAAAATAGCCAAATGACTTTTACAATATTACTTACTTACTTACTTACAATAATGCTATACCAGTTAGAATAATTAATAATAAGCCTGGTACATTCTCTTAGATAGAGCCTATGTCTAGATATGAATATGATTACCAAATCCCGCTTAAGTTAAGCTGGCTACGTATGCAGGATGTAAGGAAACCACCTACCAAAATATCTTCTTTACGGTGAGCTTTTAGAACTTTGCAAACAAATCAGTTTTGATAATAGCTTATTTTGACAAAATCAAGCCAAGTTTGCTGGCAACTAAATATTGGGACAGCACAACAAGAAATTTGTTTAATACGGAGTTACATCACCTTTCGCCTTATCAACTGCCTGAACTCTTAATGGCATTGTATTTACCAAAGATTGGCACATTTGAGGAGAAAAATTATCCCAAATTTCCTGCAGTTTTGTCCGCAAATCAAATATTGTTTGTTGAGGGTGGTTTCTTAAATATTGCTTCATTTTATGCCACACAGTTTCTATAACATTGAGGTCCGGACTACTTGAAGGATGGGATAGAAATTTTATATTATTATTACCGAACCAATTTTTAGTTGATTTTGCTGAATGGCACGATGCTCCATCTTGCTGGAAAATATAGTCTTCGTTTGGAAACAATTCTTGAACACTAGGCAAAAGTGAGGTCTCGAGAATATGTTGATATTTTTGGGCGTTAATGCCATCTAAAAAATTTAATTTGCCCAAACCTCTTGCTGACATGCAACCCCAAACCATAATCCCCTTAGGAAATTTAACAACCTTCTTTAAGCAATCTTTATGAAATGCTTCTGCTTTATTTCGTATTGTTCGTTTTCGACGATCTCCAACGCAAACATCAAATTTAGACTCATCGCTAAATATGTCCTTATTCCAATCATTTTGTGTCCACGATAATTTAGATTTTTCCCAATTGTAGCGATTTTTCTTTTGAATTTTTGTCAGTAGCGGTTTTTCTTTGTCCTAAATAAGAATTTGTATCAATAATCTTCAGGTAATTGATTATCCACACAAAATAAAGTTTACCTTGTAAAACCCCAGACCGCATTTGTGGATATATTTTCGGCAACATTCTCTTGATATATTTAAACCAGTTACAGTATTTCATTTAACTGTTACTTCGCGAAGAGTACTTCTTCTCGCAGACTTCCAAATTTTTACTAAATTTCATAAATCTCTCTGAGATACAACTTTTGGCCTTCCCGAACATTTACCTCTAACTTCTACGTTGGCAGATTCGCCGTATTTTTTTATTATATTAAAGACCGTAGTTTTTGGAATACTTAAATCATCAGAAATTTTTCGAATTGTTTTTCCCGTACTGTATTGACGAATAATAATTTCGCGTAGTTTTTGATTTGTAGCTTTTCCACGGACCATTACTTTGGATTAAATTAACAAAATTGAAAATCAAAAAAATTAAAATTTCTTACAGTAAATCTCGCTACACAAAGTATCAAGTCACTTACAAGCTGTCAATGCTGAAGTAAACAGTTTGCAACATTTGTGAAGTTTATAGCAAAGCCGCCTATGATGATATTAATTATTTAAAAATACTTGTCCCAACATTTAGTTGTCAGCAAATTTGTCCTTTTATGAACAAAATCCGCTACCGTAAATATGGATTGATTTACAAATTCATAAAAATATTGTCAAGTTGTTTAGGATATATGGCTATGTTTATATTTAAAAAATTAAACATATATTTTTCAGACATTTTGAAAAACCAGGGCAATAATTCCATAATATGACCTTGTCCCAACATATAGTTTTTAGGGCTCGTATTTAACAGCCAATATATTATTTTTTAAATTCATTATGTATTTACACACTAGGAGTATAGAGTTTAATTACACTTGGGAGGTTTTCGTCGAGTTCGATTTTTAGCGATAGCGTGCCAAGAAATGGCAAGTGGTTGATCATTAGAGCAATTAACATGTTTAGTTTTAGTTACGCACATTTAAACTACTGATAGGAATAAAAATCATACAATATCAGTTTTTATTAATCAAAATTATATTCAACAAAGACTAAAATGTACAAACAATATAAAAAAAAACAAAATTAAAAAAGAGTTAATCGAAAAATAATTGAGGTTTTTCTAATATCAGTCATACTAAAGTTTGTGGCACATGAGATTCTTCTGGTGTTTCCCCATTTTTTCCACAGAATTTCCATTCGCCGCTGTTTATTAGCTTCGAAAATTGTTCTTACTTAAACCAAAAAAAATATTTGATTTTTCATCTTAAGTCTTCATTTTTTTTATCGTTTTGTACGAATACTGTAATGAGTTGTCGCTCTTCCTGTTAACTGTGGAAAGATTTAGGTTTAATATTAAGGGTTATTAGTTAGAGCAAGATGTTTTGATTTTTTCTTTATTTACTTTGATTATTATATAAACAAAACCGACTGAAATATGTTATATTGTGAGTATTGTAGTGGATTGTAATCTGTGTATAACTCCTATATTATTTGTAAATAAATAAAAATAAACATTCGTCCAATGTCTCCTACCAGTCATGACCTATGCATGCAAAACCTGGACACTACTTAAAGGTTGATTTTCACTGTACCTTTCATATCAGCTCCTTTCCATTTTCCTTCCCTTTACATAAAATATTCTTCTTTTTCTTCCTATGCCCTGTGCTTAGCCGCATGTTGGCGATTGTCTGTACTCTTCATACAATGTGTAGAGTGCCGCTTTCGGCTCTTCGAAATATGGTGGCTGCGTCGCTGATGTCGGGATTGGTGTATCCCGTATGTTTCTTAGCCAGGAATGTTGTTTTCTTCCTGGGCCTCGCCGTCCCTCTATTTTTCCTTGTAGAATCAGCTTAGGAATGTAATATTTGTCTCCTCTAAGGATACGGCCGAGGTATGAAACTTTTCTTTCTTTAACTATATTAAGCATTTCTCGTTCATAGCCTGCAGTTCTTAAAACTTCTTCGTTGATGGCATGTGTTCAGGGTTCTAGCCTTGAGAGACCACGTTTCTGCGCCGTATAGTAAGATGGGCCATATGTAGCATTTCACTACCCGTAGTCTAAGTGCTAGCGGGAGACTGCGTGCTAATAGGAAGTTTTTAAGTTTAAAAAATGTTGATTTTGCATAATTCGTTCTAAGTTTAACTTCCTCATCGCAGACCCATCGTTCATTGATCATGGCACCTAGATATTTAAATCGTGGTACTCGCTCTATAATATTTCCATCCACCGTCAATGCGGTGTTGATTATAGGCTGGCGTCCTATTACCATAAGTTTGATCTTGGTAGCGTTGATTTTAAGACCGAAACGATTTCCCATGTCCTCCATCTTAAGTATTTGTTATTTGCTGGAGATCCTCTAAAGTTGGTGGTAGGATTGCCGTATCATCTGCATATCTTATATTGATAATTGGAACTCCGTTAATCTTAATTCCTCCACTTTTTCCTTCCAGGGCCATTTGAAATATTTTTTCGACGTATATATTAAAAAGTATTGGTGACAGTATCCAGCCCTGGCGGACTCCTTTACACACATTGTAGGTGTCTGAGGATAAATTTTTGTTAACTCTTATCTCCGCGGTTTGGTTCCAAGAAAACATAAAATATTATATCATGTAAATGAATAGGACGATGCACACTATACGTTCCGTTTCCCTTCCATTTCATATCCAACTCTGTTAAAATTTTGCTGATATTTATTTATTATTTACCCGAGATTTCACCTCTTAATTAAATCTATTACCTTTTTCGAAAGATACAAATTTTTAAAATAAAACTTTCGTAATGATACAATAAAATGAAAAAATGAAAGTTCTCACAATCAAAATACCCTCCAGATGTATGAGTAAAAAACGTAAGATGAAGAAATGAAACAGACTATTTAAAAACGCTTTTCCAAATCACCTTGACCATCAATAACCTATACCAGAAAAACTTGTTAAAAAAACAACAGTCCTTGCCATTGTAAGTGATAACATCACCTGTAATTATCGTCTGACACCTGTCCAGGAAAAATCCCGAGACGCCAATCCTGTTGAAATATCCACAATTAACAGCTGTTTCGGATTTTCGGAAAAATGGGAGGGCGTATGCGAGTGAAAAAAAAAGCGAAACGGTTTCGAAAATGAAGTAACTGTCCGCCTTCTATTTTAAGATTTCTCCGTTTTATATAGTTAGTGGCGATTTTCGCGTTCGGGTGATTTCCACATTTATGTCAGTTACGGTTTGGATAAGGTAACGGCCAGCTTGCAACCAGGATGTCGGTAGGTACACTTCGTTTTTTTAATCATTTTTATTTCTTTTTAAAAATTATTTATTTTTCATTAGTATTTTTTTCAATCTTGTTTTTTTCTTTTGTTATTATGTTCTTTAATTTAATATTTTTCTTTTTTGATTTCAGGACGAATTAGATAAAGACCAGATAGCCCGTAAGTAACTAAAGATATTTTTTTTATTATAATATGCTTTCACAATAAACTGGCCGAAATCTGACCACTTCACTGTGCACTAACATTTGGAACTACACATATATCTTTATGTCTCTCAATGTTGTTATACAGGGTATTTCAAAAATTATGTGCCATCTCTCGTGAGGAGATACCTCACGTAAAAATAAGATTAATTTTTCATATCAACATAGTTCCGATTCCGCTTTGTTTCTGGGGTGTTCAGTCTTAATATTTTTTTCGATTTATTATAATTTTCTTCCAAGTACTTTTAGCGTTTCGAATGAAATTTTCAGGGTAAAAGTTACTATAAATGTGACATATTTTAATGCTAATAAAGTGTCGACATATTCACCAAGGACGTGCATATACAGGGTCGTTCACCACATACGACACGGAATATTGTAGCTAGACGATTAGATTTTTGCCAATTGTAAGGTTTGGGTTCGTTGAAGGACTATTAGAGCTACAATTTAAAAATATTTTTACGAGATACAGAGTGTCCCAAATAAATAAAAAATATCAAAGTCGTATTTTTTTAAATGGAATACCCTGTATATTATTACATTTTTAATTTCTACGATTAAAATAAAGGTAAATTTAATTAAGGATTATTGCACTTAAACCTTACCGTTTTTGAAATATTTTCAATTTTGTGAAATTGCAGTATAAATTTTAAGGCTTCATTTCTCCGAGGGTATCAAAGTTTTTAATACTAAATATTTACTGAAGTTTATTTATTGATCAGTTATTGTGTTGCAATAATAAAAAATTTACTCCCTTATACAGAGTGTCTAAATATTTATTTTAAATAATTATTAGCTTTAAACGGCAATAACTTGTTTAATTTAAATGGAACACCCTGTATATTTTATAAGAATCAGATGCACAATTTAATTGACTATCAAATTGTATTATACCATTTTTTACCTATCTCTTCAAGTTTCCGTAGAAAATGCATTTTCTTGTAATTTAGAACTCATTTATCAATATACCCATGGAATACTGACATTTTAAATTATTTTTAAAGATGTACCAAATTTTTAAAGATTGAAAATTGACTGTTTGCGTTGATTAATAATAATTGCTTCAAATACTAAAAAAATGAATTATGTATGTGTATTAGACAGTGTGGTAAAAAACTAACACCTTAAAAATGTTATTTCATTTTTTGACAAATGCTTATTTATAACAACAGAGACGTTCATTTTCATAACTTATTATTATATTGATTTCTGATTCAAATCCACATTTATTTAGAATAATTTATAAACACAATTAAGTATGTAATTAATTAGTATTTGGACGGAAATACTGGTGGTATATTTAATTAAAGGTATACTCTTTTATAAAGATTTAAATAGTTTTCTTTTTGCATACAAATGGGCTAGTAATATTATCGTTTTACTAAAAACGATAATATTACTAGCCTGAACATTTTGTACATTTGTTGATTTAAAAACAATCTAAAATGTCAATATTCCATGGGTATATTGATGAATGATGTCTAAATTATAAGAAAATGCATTTTCTATGAAAACTTGAAGGAATAGGTAAAAAGTGGTATAATACAATTTGATAGACAATTAAATTGTACATCTGATTCTCATAAAATATATAGAGTGTTCCATTTAGATTAAACAAGTTATTGCCGTTTAAAGCTAGTAATTAATTAAATTAAATTTTTACACACTCTGTATAAGGTAGTATAATTTTTATTAATGCAACGCAATAACTGATCAATAAATAAACTTCAGTAAATATTTAGTATTAAAAACTTTGATACCCTCGGGGAAATGAAGCCTTAAAATTTATACTGCAATTTCACAAAATTGAAAATATTTCAAAAACGGTAAGGTGTTGTAACGGTTGTAACGGTTGGTAAGTGTAATAAACCTTAATCAAATTTACCTTTATTTTAATCGTAGAAACTAAAAATGCAATAATATACAGGGTGTTTCATTTAAAAAAATACAACTTTGATATTTTTTATTTATTTGGAACACTCTGTACCTTGCAAAAATATTTTTAAATTGTAGCTCTAATAGTCCTTCAACGAACTCAAAACTTACAATTTGTAAAAATCTAATCGTTTGGCTACAATACTCCGTGTCGTATGTGGTGAACAAACCTGTATATTATCACTGGAATATTATTCTAAAAAATGCATGTACGCCACTGACTTTTGTCTTTTGTTAGCGAAATAGTGCAAGCAGTTTAATGCCGATAAAAAGTTATCTCTTGATATTTTGTCGATTTCGGCCTCCTTGATGAGATAAACGCAATTTTACTAATTTGCCTTGATTCAAGTGTAATAGAAACCTTTAAAAAAATTAATATCATTAACTTGCGAAAATTTTAAATAAGTACTCATTGATTCCTCATCAAAAAAATATGAAAAAAAGTTCCTGTATACATGGATATGGAAATGCATAATTTTTGAGTTAGAAGATATTAAAATTTTTTAAAATTGGGTTTTTTGTAATTATTTTAAATACCATTATTTTTTTATTTGAAATTACTCTAGGTTGGACTAATAGCAATAATAACTAATAGTAATAATATTTAATAAAAAAATTAGGTAAAATATCTAATTTATTAATTTTATTTTTTTTTTTTAATTTTATTAATTGTGATTAATAAAATTGCATTTATCTCATCAGGAGGCCGAATTCAACAAATTATCGAGAGATAACTTTTAATTGGCATTAAACGGCCTACACACTTTTGATATCAAAAGAAAAAAGTCAGTGGCGCCTGTACAGGGTGTCCCAGAAATAAGTGCAATTATTTTAAGGGGTCTCGATAAAAGAAACATATTTTCTCTTTATCGTTTTTTAAATCAGTCCAAAATAACGGAGTTATTTTACTTTGAAAATTTCCAAAAAAAAATATTTTTTGCTAAAATTTTGAGAACCACTGGGTCTTTTCTGGATTTTCTTTCTTGTAAATTTAATCTACTACCTATGTTGCTATATTATCAAGAAATTATGTTTTTTAAATAAAATCTAAAAAAATCCAAAAAAGTTTCAAAGAATTCCGAATTTTATTTTTTTTTATCTCCGAAAAAGTATCATTTTTACTCCTGATAAAACAATATATTATTTTCTCAAAATGCCAATAATAAAAATGTGTTTCCTCTTGTAAAGACAATCCAGGGACATTATGTATTTGTCAATTCTGCCATTTCTCTCAAATTTTACAGATATTTTAATCATTTTTTAATTAATTAACCTTTGGAATTATCTACATATTCGTAAAAATGTAAATTTATATTTTAAAGTTTTAATATCATATCACTATTCACTTGACATAGGAGTACTATACCAAGTTTGATCTCAATCTGGCATATAGTTTTTGAGATCCTAGAGGCTCATTTCTAAAAACAAGTCTGGGTATTGTATATGCTATCTAGGTTTAAACATTTTAAATAGTTTTTTATTAATTGTTTATTAATTTTGTATTTTTTCTTCTGACGACGCGACGTGAAGGAAGAATATAAATAAATAATAAATAAATGCCTTTATTGTCAAAAAATTTTACAATTTGTAGACAAAGGTAAAATAAACAAACAAAGTAAACAAACAAGGTACACAAAAAAAAGATAATACAAAACATTATACAAATAATATTGTCAGTCTTATTGTTTAAAATAAACATTTATATAAATGTTTACAATGTCAAAGAATAAAAAAAATAAAAATAATATTCAAAAATATTTAGCTAGTTTATAGTAAAATATCAATGACCTCTAAATAAATTAATTTCGATGTCATTAGTAAATATAGCAATAGCAAACATTAGACCAGTGTTTACAAGATCAAATTCGATTATCAAAATATAATTCATCCACAGCGTAGAAAGCCTTGTCTAGTAAATAAGAGTTCAATGCTTTGCGAAATGAAGAAAATGATGTTATGGATTTGATTTCAAATGGCAGGTGATTGTGCATTTCTGTCGAGTTGTATAATATTGAACTTTTAACTAACTCTGAGCGTGGGGTAGGTAGATAAAGATCTTGCTCCGCGTTCCTGAGTGGATAAGTGTGAGATGGCCTTTCTTGAGAAGCTGAAACATGCTTACGTATTAGGCAAACGGATTCAAATATAAATAAGAAAGGAAGAGTTAATAGTTTTAATTTTTTAAAAAAGTCCTGGCAATGAGTTCTGCTCTGAGTCCCAGTGAATATCGAACAGCTCTCTTCTGGAGCTTGAAAATGCGGTCAAATTGAGTCACACAACACGTACCCCAGAATGGAAGGGCATACCTGAGGTGCGACTCAAAAAGTGTAATAAACAGTTCTAGCCACTGACAAGTTAAGCTCCTTAGAAACAGATCTTAATGCAAAACAGGCAGAGCTCAATTTTTTCTACAAAGTTTCGATATGCATGTCCCATTTCAGAGAATTGTCTACAATAAGCCCTAAGAATTTTACAGATTTTACGACGTCAATGGTGGTGTTGTTAAGTACAAAAGGCTGCAGCGAGTTTTTATACGACAAAGCTTTAGTTTTAGAAATGTTGAGACTTAGGAGGTTCGAATCGCACCAAGATTTAATGGTGATTAAGTCATTTGATATAATCCTATGAAGTGCCGTGACGTCCTTGTTGCTCCAAGTGAAGCTAGTGTCGTCGGCAAAAAGACATATTTTGCCACTGATGTTTATGTTAGCAATGTCGTTAATAAAAAGAAGAAACAAAATGGGGCCTAGCACTGAGCCTTGTGGTACTCCACATTCTATTGGCTTGCTAGAAGACAACGTGGTATCCACCCTCACAAGTTGACAGATACTGTTGCTCAGATACGACTTAAACCATTCGAGAGATGTTCCCCTGAACCCATAGTGCTGCAGTTTATTAATTAGGATCTTATGATTTACACAGTCGAGCGCCTTAGAAAAATCACAGAAAATTGTTGCTGTAGAATGATGGTTATTTGGGCTGGAGTAAACTTTATTAAGGAGGGAAAACGTAGCGTCATTTGTGGACTTGTTGCTTAGAAATCCAAACTGATGTTCAGTAAGTATTTTGTACTTAAACAGAAAAGATACAAGCCTTCCTTTAACCAACCTTTCTATGATCTCAGATAGCGTTGGAAGGAAAGAAACTCTTTGGAATGTCAGGAATTTCTTATTGGTTAAGCGATTTTGTTTACGAATAAAAACCAACGACAAGCTAGTTTCTGCTGCTAAAAAATGCATTGGTAAAATACCCAGACTCTTTCAAGAAATGTATATTTTATCTTGTTCCAAAAAAATACGATTTTTTGTCATATATTTGAATCATTGACACTGATCTGTAAATGATTACTCTTTAATTAACTATATTTGTTCTTGCAGTTCTTAAGAAGGCTTTCGACACCTTCGATGTCGAGAAAAAAGGCAGCATCGGTACTCAGATGGTCAGGACAATCTTCACCATGTTAGGTATCACCACAACAGAACAGATTTTGAATGAAATCATCGCTGAAGTTGATACCGACGGTAAGATTCTTTAAACCAGTACAATATCAGTATTAAACTAAAAAATCAATAATATAAAAAATGTACTATGTTCATCGATATCCTAAATCTTAGAAAACCCGTTCATGGTTTTCTTTTTCTTCTTCTTTCTCAGCCTGGTTCCATCCAGTGTTGGATATAGGCCTCTTCTAGGTTTTTCCATGCTTCGCGATCTCTAGCCAATCTTATCCATTGTCTTCCCGCCACTGCCCTGACGTCATCGACCCATCTCTTTTTTGGTCGGCCCACACTGCTTGTTGTTCCCCTAGGTCTCCATAGGATTGCTTTTTGGGGCCATCGGCCTGGATCCTGTCTTGCCGCATGTCCTATCCATTGCCACTTCAGACTTGCCACTCTTTTAACGACATCTATTAATTTTGTTTTTTGACGTATGTGTGTGGGTATTCCGTATTTTTTCCCTAATGGTGACTCCCAACATGATTCTGTCCATGGCTCTTTGTGCTACTCGTAGTTGTTCTGCTGTTTTTCGAGTAATTGCCATAGTTTCTAAGCCATACGTAAGCACAGGCAGAATGCAGCTGTCGTAAGCCTTTTTCTTTAGGTTCATGGGCACCTTTTTATCCTTGAAAATATCGCTCATATTTCCAAATGCTACCCATGCCAAATGGATCCTGCGTTTGATCTCCGTATTTTGGTTTTCCTTGCCCAGCTTGATTTTATGACCTAAATATATATCATGGTCTACGTTTTCAATAATAACGTTGTCCACGGTAATGTTATGGATATTGTTGCTCATTATCTTGGTCTTCTTCAAGTTCATTTTAAGGCCAATTTTCTGGGATTGGTCATTTAGCTCATTTAGCATGGTGTTTAGTTCTTGAATGTCGGTGCTCAGCAAGACAACATCGTCTGCAAACCTCAGATGGCTAAGGTGTACCCCATCGATGTTTAGACCTCTATTTTCCCATTCTAATTTCTTGAAGACATTTTCCAGTGCCAGTGTAAATAACTTGGGAGAGATGGTATCTCCTTGTCTCACGCCCTTGCCGTGTAGTATTTTTTCTGTTTTGAGGTCATCATCTAATTTAACTTGGAAGGTTGCACTATCATGGTTTTCTATAAAATAGTATATCGATGGCTTTCTTAGAAGGTACAGGAGAAAAATTTTGTTACTTAAGAGTTTTGATTAATTTTATTAGTTTTATATTTTTAGGTTAGCAAAAATAAATAAATTTAAAAGTTACGCCTGGTAGATCGCATAAAATCATATCTGTTTCTTTTTTAGGATCTGGTGAGCTGGAATTTGAAGAATTCGTAACTCTGGCTGCCAAATTCATGGTTGAAGAAGACGCAGAAGCTATGCAACATGAACTTAAAGAAGCTTTCCGTCTCTATGACAAAGAAGGTAGGTTTTGGTTCCGCGCGCACTGCATCGGATCGGACCAAAGACATTATAAAGATAGACCGAACATCTCATTCATAAATACTCGTTGGTAGTGTATCAAACATTCCAATGTGTCAAACAAGGACAGAAGAGACAGAGAATTCTAAAATTTCCGACCCCGGCAACTAGGCGCATTTGGGATTGTTCTAATGGCCAGTGGCGTATCGTTTTTTGGAACGAATTTAATTAGTAAAGTAAAAGTAAAGTAATTAGTCAAATTTTACCCATATTAATATACTACATTAACACTTTTTCGTCAGATGAGTTTTGTTATAAGGTCTAATATAATAATACAATTAATATCCCACATATCACTTATGTTGAAACGTTAGTAGTTTTCGAAAATCACTCCAACGTCGATTGGCAATATAAAAAAGTCATTTAACGCCCTAAGCATAAAAGTAAAGCACTTTTACTTACTTTTGAATCTATTTGAAAAAGATTAACAATGGTACGTAGGTACTTTAATAAAATTCGAAATACTTACTTTTTAGCACTGTACATGGTGCCCTTTGTCAGGGACTACGTTTTCTGGTAAAACCACTTCTTTAAATTTTAAACCATGTTGTTGGCACTTGGCAAAAATTCTTTGCATTTTGTTGTCTGCGCTTCATCAAAAACAATAACTTTGTCACTAAGTAACTTTTTTACAAAACTACACAACTTAAATGTTTTTTATCCACTGTGATTTAGTAGTTAGTAGCGAAATTAGTAGTTACTAAAATATTTATTTGCAGTAATTATTCTAAACTATTTACAATATGCACGTGAATATTTAAATTTATAAATACATATTTGTACATAGCGTAACTTAATTCCAACAAAATAATCTCTGAATTAAAAGCCTGCAAATAATTGAAATAAAACCGAAAAAAATTGTTGTTTTTATGTAAATTTGAAGTACATACTCCAAAATACTGTTACGTCAGTCGCATCGGCTGCCGACGGGTCTCAATAAACTATCTTTCTCGCGCTTATAGATACTCAGACAAGACTTTAAATCGCGCTCAATTTAAAATCTTTATTCGCGTCACAGCAAGTATTAAATCCCATTGAATTCGTCCGGCCAATTAACACATATTTTTAATATCATCTAATAAACGCTGTAAAAATGTTAGAATGCCTAAAATATGTTTTCCAGGTATAATAATTAAACATATTTAGAATGGTCTGGTTACAGTTTAAACCCGAAAAAAAAAGTCTGGCACGCTTATTTCTAGGTTAAATAGATGCTAAAATTTAAGAATAAACAAATTTCAAGTTGCCCTAAAGAATGTTTTTGGATTTATTTTTTGCAAATGTTATGGGTTGCGCAGTAGCGAAATACCCCCAACCCCCTAGCCAGGCTTAGGATTCTGGGTTCACAAGTTATTAAACTTTATTTTTTTTGTTATTCTAACTTGCATAAAATATGTTCTCTAAATATGTCCCCAGCTCTCCGGCTAAATGTCTTCACGCCTTGTCGCCAACAAAAACACAGTATAAAATTTCTTTCGATAAATATGTGCCAAAATAGCCGTGTCCGTTTGTGTTTTATCTCGTAAAATGGTCCATTTATTGTGTCGACAGAGTGGAATAAAAATAAACAAATAGATTTACAGTGGGACAAAACTGGCGGAGATACAAAATGTAGTGGGAGGAACTAATGTAGGAGTTGGGACAATTAAACAAAAGTTTAAAACAGTTTAAAAAAATAAACACAATTTTTCTGATAGTTTAAGAACCGTTATCCCGATTTGAATGAGATTTTGGGTGTCTCTGTTTTGTTAAGTTCTTTAATATTTGACTTTCACAAAAATCAAGAAAAAGTAGGGGAAGGGTAAAAACTACCCTACCCCTACATAAATTTTAGTAGAAATATTTTCCAGGTCAACCGTCGACCGATTTTTTTTCGTAAAATGGTCCTTTTAGTATTTACTATATTTTTTGTCTCTTGTAAAAAAACTCCACCGCGCATTCTTTTTGATGAAAATAAATATTTTTCCGAAGCTGATTATAAAGATGGCGAAAATATGGAATTTTATGTTAGTACCACAACTTATATTTGACAACAAGCTTCATAAAAACCTTAAAAAATTAATTAATTTTAAATTAATTTCAGGTTTAATTTTTAATACTGGCCTCTAACAGACTTATTCTGATTCAAGAATACGTACTTGTTCTATGTCCACGGAATGTTGGATCTTACTTTACTTCCTGTATATTTTGCAGGTCTGCTTTGGAAAAATAAATTCTCCAAAATTTTTTTTTCCAGGTGCTTTTTCCTGATTTTTGTAAAAGTCAAATGTTAAAACACTTAGCAAAACATAGGTACCCCAAAATCTCATTTAAATCGAAATAACTTTTCTTAAAATATCTTAACTGAATAGCTACCTGTGAAGCTACTAACTGAATGTGTAAAGAAAATATTGGTGTGCAAAAATGTTTGTACAAAATGGCTTGAGCAAACTATTTTGCAGGAATTACTTGAGAGTCTACCCTCCCCCCTCGAAGGATTTCTTTTGATGAGAAATAAAATTTACTTTTTTTTACAGGTAACGGTTACATTTCCACAAAAACGCTGAAAGAAATCCTGAAAGAACTTGATGATAAACTCACCAGTGATGAACTGGACATGATCATCGCTGAAATTGATACAGACGGATCTGGAACAGTAGATTTTGATGGTAGGTAGCACATTTAGACTGTTTCACAGATTTATTTTCAGAAAATAAATATATAATATTTAAGACAAGCAATCAAAAATTGAAAATAAAGTATAATATAAATTAAAATACTAACATGACCTAAATGTGTCAGTCTCTGTTAATTTAATATCTCCAACATCAAAAACATTTTAAAACGAATTCTTTTTCCTGTTTTCATTATTTTTAATTAGTATAAGTTGAACGTCCTGAAACATGTTCAAAAAATAGACCAGAAAGCAGTAGAGTAGATTCTATTTTGATTCTTTTCTGTTTCTTTATTAAAAAGAACTAAAAATTTTCTCGGTAAAATTTCCACAATAAAATTTTCATTGCGCACGTCAAAGTTTATGGTCTGTACGAGTTTTCCAGCCATAGAAAAGCTCAACGTAATCAAAGGAAATTCTAGGCTATTAAATATAGTACTTGTTGATGTTCTTCACTAAAAATATCAACAATAACAGGATTTGTGCAATTATTTTTCGAAATTTATGATATTTAAAGTTGCCTGAGGATGGTATTTTTAGTTATTTGTTAGTGGTAAAAATAAAAAGTTATAAAATGGAACAATTATATATCTACGTATTAAAAATTTTGGCAAACAGACGATACTTAAAAAATGAAGTGCGTCTTAATTGATTTTTTTAAAGTGTTTCTGGTTCCAGAAATACATAAATCTTTTTTTTATTGTTTTTTTTTATATAATGACAATAAATCACTTTACAGAGTGTCCCAACTTGAGCGTGCATTAGATGTTCCTAGAGAACTACAATATCTAGATCGGAGATTTTTTGCACATCATTGTTTCACAACGAGTTCAGGTTGTGTCCAGGATGGGTTCATAGTTTCATAGATGTCGATTTTCGAAAGAAATCAGAACATGTATATTATTTCGTATATTTTTCATTTTATTGATTTTATAGAAAGCACTGTTCATTAAAATGTTGTACCCTATGTTATAGGGCTTGTTTCTCTCTACAATTTCCTGTCTCACAATGTACCGTTTGTATCCAGGAAGGGTTCATAGTTTCATAGATGTCGATTTTCGAAAGAAATCAGAACATGTATATTATTTCGTATATTTTTCATTTTATTGTTTTTATGGAAAGCACTGTTTATTAAAATGTTGTATTCTATGTTATAGGGCTTGTTTTTCTCTACAATTCCCTGTCTCACAATGTACCGTTTGTGTCCAGGAAGGGTTAATATTTTCATAGATGTCGATTTTCGAAAGAAATCGGCACATTTATTTTATTTCGTATATTTTTCATTTTATTGATTTTATGGAAAGCACTGTTCATTAAAATGTTGTATCCTATGTTATAGGGCTTGTTTCTCTCTACAATTTCCTGTCTCACAATGTACCGTTTGTATCCAGGAATGGTTCATAGTTTCATAGATGTCGATTTTCGAAAGAAATCAGAACATGTATATTATTTCGTATATTTTTCATTTTATTGATTTTATGGAAAGCACTATTCATTAAAATGTTGTATCCTATGTTATAGGGCTTGTTTCTCTCTACAATTTCCTGTCTCACAATGTACCGTTTGTGTCCAGGAAGGGTTCATATTTTCATAGTTGTCGATTTTCGAAAGAAATCAGTACATTTATTTTATTGATTTTATGGAAAGTACTGTTCATTAAAATGTTGTATCCTATGTTATAGGGCTTGTTTCTCTTTACAATTTCCTGTCTCACAATGTACCGTTTGTGTCCAGGAAGGGTTCATATTTTCATAGATGTCGATTTTCGAAAGAAATCAGTACATTTATTTTATTTCGTATATTTTTCATTTTATTGATTTTATGGAAAGCACTGTTTATTAAAATGTTGTATCCTATGTTATAGGGCTTGTTTCTCTCTACAATTTCCTGTCTCACAATGTACCGTTTGTGTCCAGGAAGGGTTCATATTTTCATAGATGTCGATTTTCGAAAGAAATCGGTACATTTATTTTATTTCGTATATTTTTCATTTTATTGTTTTTATGGAAAGCACTGTTTATTAAAATGTTGTATTCTATGTTATAGGGCTTGTTTTTCTCTACAATTCCCTGTCTCACAATGTACCGTTTGTGTCCAGGAAGGGTTAATATTTTCATAGATGTCGATTTTCGAAAGAAATCGGCACATTTATTTTATTTCGTATATTTTTCATTTTATTGATTTTATGGAAAGCACTGTTCATTAAAATGTTGTATCCTATGTTATAGGGCTTGTTTCTCTCTACAATTTCCTGTCTCACAATGTACCGTTTGTATCCAGGAAGGGTTCATAGTTTCATAGATGTCGATTTTCGAAAGAAATCAGAACATGTATATTATTTCGTATATTTTTCATTTTATTGATTTTATGGAAAGCACTATTCATTAAAATGTTGTATCCTATGTTATAGGGCTTGTTTCTCTCTACAATTTCCTGTCTCACAATGTACCGTTTGTGTCCAGGAAGGGTTCATATTTTCATAGTTGTCGATTTTCGAAAGAAATCAGTACATTTATTTTATTGATTTTATGGAAAGTACTGTTCATTAAAATGTTGTATCCTATGTTATAGGGCTTGTTTCTCTTTACAATTTCCTGTCTCACAATGTACCGTTTGTGTCCAGGAAGGGTTCATATTTTCATAGTTGTCGATTTTCGAAAGAAATCAGTACATTTATTTTATTGATTTTATGGAAAGCACTATTCATTAAAATGTTGTATCCTATGTTATAGGGCTTGTTTCTCTTTACAATTTCCTGTCTCACAATGTACCGTTTGTGTCCAGGAAGGGTTCATATTTTCATAGATGTCGATTTTCGAAAGAAATCAGTACATTTATTTTATTTCGTATATTTTTCATTTTATTGATTTTATGGAAAGCACTGTTTATTAAAATGTTGTATCCTATGTTATAGGGCTTGTTTCTCTCTACAATTTCCTGTCTCACAATGTACCGTTTGTGTCCAGGAAGGGTTCATATTTTCATAGATGTCGATTTTCGAAAGAAATCGGTACATTTATTTTATTTCGTATATTTTTCATTTTATTGATTTTATGGAAAGCACTGTTCATTAAAATGTTGTATCCTATGTTATAGGATAGTTCTTTCCGGTGAAACAGGAAGTGACCAAAAACAAGTGAATACGTCAATCAATCCTAATTTATGTCATATACTAACATACCAAATCTCGTTTTTTTTAACTGAAAAATAAAAAAGTTATATGGGTGAGCCACTTTTGAGTCGCACCCGGTATAATATATCTTTAAAGAATGTTAGTACATCATGGCATTTTTTTAAAAAACGAACAAACATAATAGAATAATCTCCATTTATCCGGTAAACATCAGGTGTGAGCAAAAGTCCATTTTTTTATAGTTAACCTCGGATATAGTGAAACAATTTTGATGCAATTTTCGAGTTCGCTATATCCGGACTTCACTGTATTTTTAAATTACTCATAAATTTTTCTGCGATAGTTTCTGATGAACTTTTGACACAAAGACATTTCAAATTTACGATTTGAGTTTAATAACTGTTTAGTCAACATATTTAATTTATGTATGATAATTGCGATTCCAAATATCTCGAGAACCATTATTCGTAAAGATGTTTCCCAAGAGACCTTTTTACGTAAAAAACGTCGTAAATGTATATTTTTTAGTCAATTTTTTTATACAGGTACGGACTAAAACATATTACTCTTCAAACCAGTTAAAAATATGTAGGTGTCGCCCTCTACAAGTAGGAGCCATATTGATATCAAAATCAAATTTCTCATGACAAAAAACTCCCAAACACCAATTTTCATCCAAATATTGACGTTACTTCAGAAATTATTTGAAAAAAATCGAAATAAAAATTAAACTTCTACACCCTGTATCTCTGAAACTAAGCTTTTAAGGACATACATTTATACGAACTTTTTTACTTATTTTTATCTGCAAAATATGCTGCTGACGTTTCCGGAATACAGTTCGGACCGCCCTGTATATTTAAATGTTATATAAAATTTTGTAAATTTTAATATACAGCATGTCCCCGGATTGTCTTTACAAGAGGAAAAACTTTTTTATTATTGACATTTTGAGGAAAACGCATTCTCGATTAAAATGTTTGCTTATTATAAAAATTCATTATATATATTCAAATTCAATTCTTTTCATTTCTAGGACTTTTTCCTCTTGTATAGATAATCCAGGGACATACTGTAAAACACTCTATATCTAACATTATCCGTTTTTGAGATATTTAAAATTTTTGAATTGAATATTAAAAAATAAACAGCTTGTCAAAAATAAAGCAGTTTTTTACATTACAATTTTGAACAAACAAAAATTAACTTTTTAATTTCTATTTTTTTTCAGAATTCATGGAAGTAATGACCGGTGGTGATGACTAAAAATTTCCGAAACAACATCAATTTTCGGGAAATAAACCTGACCAAAGTATTAAGTAATATTTCTTTTTGTATACGTTAAAATGTTTTTATTTTTGTTTTATTACCTCGTTCTGTATGTTTGTTGATTAGCTGATGTAAATACCAAATACCGTTTTTATTTAAATACATTTTATTTATTACAAAAACTGTTTTATTTTATGTTCGTTTCAGTAATTGAATGAATAATATTGCCTCTCTGACTGACGGTGTACAGAAGGTGGAAATGAATTTATAGAGGTCTGTTTGAATAAAAATAAATTATAGAAAAATGTTTGTTTTACGATATATACAAGAGTTATATTTAGAGTTCGTTTATAACAGTTTTATTTTAAAATTAAACCCGAATAGGTTGATTTAGAGATATGTTAGAGGTTCTTTAGGCTTGATGCAATCTACGCCGGTGTTGCCACCATCGGAGAATATCGTAAACAACTAGTATATACAAATACATGAGCTTAAATAGCGAATGACCGATAGCGAATAATTATATATTTTTCAATAATTAACGGACTTCATACGGCGTGTTTTTGACCGAGACTACAGGTTGACCTTGAATGATACCGGACATAATGAAAGACTGCGCGCTCACCGCCCTCTATCTGAAAAACGGATTGAGGTACAAAAAATTTTTTGAAAGAAAAGTTGTAGAGAATTTTATCCTCTACAATATTTATTATGAAAACAAATAGCGTAAATGTGAAAGGGAACAAGATATTTGCAAAAAATGCCCAAAAAATCGATTTTTTTACCTTTGAACTCAGTTATCTACAAGTCGCGCACACGCTATCATATCTAGGTTTTCAGACATGTTTTAGGATATAAAAATAAAGGTTTATACGAGTTTACAGCCGGTTATCTTGAATTCCGAGATTTCTACCCTATTTCTACTAAGATGACTGGACTACATTTGAAATTGTCACAACCATAGACTTAAAATTAAATATAGACTACACTATTTACATCTCAACGCGGTCAAACAATCTTTTTTGTACACATGTTTACTTCTGGGTACAGTCGACCGAGCCTTCCTCATCCAGCCTATGTTGTCACGTCTTTAATATTATCAATATTTTTTTTCTTGTTATATACACATATATTGAGATATTAATACTACAGTTTAATAAAGTAGGTTTTAATATTCCATAGATATATTAAATAGTCCTTATACTACTAAATTATAAGTCGGATACTGTTTAAAAAGTATTCTTTAGAATATGACAACGCCGATTAGAGACGAGAGAGCCTATTCATTCATTTATTACCTTGTAGTACGCGTCGCACGTGTGCGGTAAAGCTTTGTCGCCGCTATGTCCCCGGCTGTATTAACGCATTTTCTTACCTTGTAGTCCTTAAGTGTTTATTTTATTGACATTTTCTGTTCAAGAACTATAAAATATGGTTCGCCAGTGCCAAATTTGCAAGAAATTTGACTTAAATAATCCATTTAAGTCTTGAAACGATTTTTGACCGGTAGGCAACTCTCAATTTACCCATTGGGAGTCAGTGGCGTTGTTGTAGAAAGGCGCTTATTTAGATAATATTTTAGTAAAATGTAAAATCTGAATTTTTTCTCTTACATTACATTATTTACTTACTTACATTGTAACAAAATCATAATTATAACATATATATAATGTTAATAATTAATAATGTTTTTATTAAAAATATATTCTGGTTTATTCTAAAATTATATTCAGAATCTAAAATAACATACAAGAATTTTAAAATGATATTACATTATGAAACAATATTTTTTAATATACCGGGTCGTCTCAAAAGTGGCTCACCCCTATAACTTTTTTATTTTTTCAGATAAAAAAAACAGATTTGTATGTTAGTAGGTATATGACATAAATTAGGATTTATTGACGTATTCAATTGTTTTTGGTCTTCCTGTTTCACCGAAATGATTACATCTTTTGATTTTTAAAGGCACCCTCGGTATATTGCTACTTTATTTGATAAAAAATGACACTCTGAATAGAATGACATATCATATGTCAACTTTTGACATTGTCGCTTAAAAACAAATCCTATTTTAAATTTCAATCCAGGGTGTCATGGTGTTGTTAAAAAGACTAAGTTTTAATCAAGGAGCCTTGGAAAAAAAATAGTTTTGATCATCTAATGGGTTTCGTGTCTTGTCTAGACCAGTTAAAAGATGTACAAATCGTATTTTTAATCATACATATGTCAATTTTTTCAAATGGAACAAGGGTGACTCATTAGCATATTTCGAAAAAGCATTTTTTTATGAATATATTGATACCACACACTTGGTAATTCGAGTCAAATTGTCGTTATGAACAGGGTGTTACAATTACAATTAAACCATATGCGAAAATGTCAAAAGTTGACATATGATATGTCATTCTATTCAGAGTGTCATTTTCTATCGAATAAAGTAGAAATATACCCAGGGTGCCGTTTAAAAATTAAAAGTTATAGTCATTTCCGGTGAAACAGGAAGTGACCAAAAACAATTGAATGCATCAATCAATCCTAATTTATGTCATATACTAACATACTAAATCTTGTTTTTTTATTTGAAAATAAAAAATATTATGGGGATGAGCCACTTTTGGGACACACCCGGTATAATAAAGACAGTACCGAGTTAAATAAATGTAGTTTTCATTTTATCCACTTCCTATCACCTTCCTTGCTTTAATGGAACAGATTTATATTTTCTCTAATTTACATAAGACATCACTTAACCAGAAAAAAAATTACAACAATCATTTTTTTTTCTCTCCCTGTCGCCGATTCTATTATATCTGTGGAATAGATCCTGTTTTGATTAATATTAGGAGTTGTAAATGTTTGACCAAAATGAATAATTTATTATTAATTTCAAAAATTACGTAATTTCGATTATAATATTTCTTCTATAACGTGTATTTTATTATTTTTATCCTTTTTGGACTCTAAGACGTTTTTTTCTAAATTTTTATTTAAAAAACCTGTCCTAAAAATCTTATTAAAATATAAAAAAGTTTAAATACGATATATTTTTAATTTAATTATAGCTTCATTAAAATAAAAAAAATTACCCGGCTATGATACGGAGAGTTCAGGTGTACTTGAGAAACGAAAGACAGTGTTGTGTTTCTCGGCAGAGTCGTCAGGGAACGACCGTTACGACAGAGACAACCTATCTATCGCTCGTGTCGCACTCGTTATAACCTAAAACAATAACACAACAATAACAAGACATTGTCTGACCGCATGTTCCAGCTATTTTTGAATGAGATGCTCAGTCTATATTTTATTTTAAGTCTATGGTCACAACACAACACGACGCCTAGTTCGAATCCTTTTTCATACAAACCTCGTACCTGAGTGTTTTATAGTCTCAATAACTGCACTAGCAAAAAACTAAAATACTTAAATATTACGATAAAGCCACGATTTTTCACAGCGGCGTGAAATACATACTGATAATTTATATTTCTGCCGTTGAAGCGCTGCGGTCGAAATTTGTTGAAATGGTTGAAATCAAATGAAATGCACCAAACCTATACAGCTAAAATAATTTACCTAGTGTTATCAGACAATATTTTACTTGTGTTGTTCTCTAATATCGCTACTGCATATCCGTTTATGTTTATGACAGGCTCAGATTTCTCAAAATACATCCCTGTACTCGTCTGAGATTTTCTGACAGGTGCACCAACATACCTAGACCAGAAAAATTGAGAAATATTAATTACACACGCTAAGTACGACAATATAGTCTATAAAACTATTTGTAAATTATAATTTTAGATTTCATTAGTCCGCTAGACACCATTAACTCAAAAACAGTTCATTAAAACAGTTATTATGTCGGTAAGTCAATTTTTTTTCAACTCATCTAAAAAGTATTTAAAAATATTATTAAAATTCTTGATTTTATATAATAAAATATTCTGTAATTTGTGATAATATTTGAAATGTACTGAGGAAGAAAAAACATCTCTATTATATTTTTTAATATTAAAAATAATAAGGGCAATTTAGGAGAAACCAAATGAGGATCAGACTTTCTTGATGCATTTTGTCAATTTTTTCGAATTTTGGCAAACAAGGAAAAGCTGCCACGCTTTTTGTAAGAATCTTAGCGAAAAACTAGTATACTTGGATGGTATAAATGGATAAGAAAAATCATATAAGTAATACATCTACATGTGAAAAATCTAGTTTTGGTGATATCTGAAAAAATTGAAAAAAAACTGTCGAATGTCCTTTAGACGTGAAATTTCTCTTTATTTTGTGCTACCACGGTCCGTATTCCCAACTACATGGTTTATTATTCAAAAAATAGAGAAGTTTTATAGTACAAAAAAACTCTTCATCTGGCAATCACAAATAAACAGCAGTATGTCCACAGTACACAAGGACATACTTCTGTTTGTTTGTCTACCGCCAATGGACATACAACACATAGAAAGTCTCACCATCTAATGCGAATGGGATAAAATGTATTTAACGTTTTTTTTTGCATCATATTGTAACTCTGTGTATGTAGTTTGCAATACCAAACATTAAAAAATAGACAAAATGCATTTAGTAAGTCTGCTTCTCCAAATATAATTTACTTCTAATATCTTCTTTTTCTATAAAAGGAATTTTTACACTTTGCACAAAAACCAATTATAAAATATATAAAAAATAACTTAGCTACCACTATTTTTCAAAACAAACTGTTCATGAATTTTATTACTTGTGTTGATTTGAAGTTTTCTTTATTTAATAAGGTTTAATAAGGCTTTCTATCAAATTTTTTGAGTACTCTTACTAAAACTTGAACACCCTGTATATATCCAATTATCTCTCCTCAACCAGAACTGGCCGAAATAAATCAAAGATAAAACAACCCGATGTAATTTTATTAGATAATAAAATTTTATTAACACCAACGCCCATGCACTCATGTGAGTGTGTGGAAAAAGAAATAACATAGCGTAAAGTTATAAAATAACCGCAAATAAATTAGTATTATTGCAGCAAAAAGTAGGGATGTTCGAGAGTATCGATATTTCAAAATATCGATATTGAGAAAATATCGATTTTTTTGACTATCGATATAGTCATAATGTCTTCAATGTCATAGCAGCGTAAAGTCCAAACGCTTTAACCACGCGGCCACCGAGAACTTGAAAGTTTCTATGTAAAATTCTTACTTAAAAGATAATGTTTAGTGAAAGTACTTTTTTATTTATAAACGTTTACTTAATTCTGTTTTTAGTATTTGTTCTTATAGCGGCAACATAGATACATAATCTGTGAAAATTTCAACTGTCTAGCTATAACTGTTCATAAGATAGACCTCTGTGGCAGACGGACGGACGGACAGCGAAGTCTTAGTGTTGGTCAACCGACTAGACAAAATGTGCTGCTAACTGGAGGACAAATCGTGAACCTTTCGGGGCGGAGTCAAAGATATCGATTATTTTCGTTATTTTCCTCAGAGTAATGTAATAATATAGCCCCGGGTATCTGCGAACTTTAATAGTGATCAGCTGATTAAAAAATTTAAACGAAACTGTTATTTTACTGTAAACTGTGGATTATTTTTGCCTGTTCTTTTAAGAATTCTAAACCGTATTAACAAAGAAATTATTATTTCGATATGTTGGTACATTATTTATAGGTAATTTATGATAATTTTATGCTAATTGGCTGTTAATTGATATTTTAAAAAAAGTTACATACCTATTTTAAGTTGATTTAATGCAGGTTTATAAAAGAATCATTTCATTCTTAGATTATTTTATTCTAAATTGAGTACTGTAGGAATTTTACGATATTTTTTTATGAAAACATAAAACTTTTTACATTTTTGATGCTAACTAATTGGCATGGTATTATTGTTATGGAAATTAGCCAAGGAAGAAAAGAATTGGCTATAACTTGTAATTTTTCGAAAAAAAAGATATTATACCTATCGCTGAAAAGCTTAAAAAATGGCGCTTTTTATGAAGTCATGGCCAACTATGATTTACTAAAAAAACATATGTTTGTGTCATATGTCAAAAATGACAGACTTTAGAAAAAAAAAACAGAAAACACAAACTCATTAGGTATGTGATTATCTACAACTTTTATCTGAAAACTTTTTGTCTAAAATACCGTATGATCGAATAAAAACGGCGTCAGCGATGGCTATGAAATGACGATCAATGATATTTCCCATATAATTTTACATATAAAATGACTGCGATCTTCACTTCATAGCCATCGTTGACGCCGTTTTTATTCGATCATACGGTAGATTATAATGGAATTAGAGACAAGTTTTAAAATAGCCAAAATTTGTTTTTTTCGAAATATCTAATAAGCCTTGAACTTCTCCGAAAAATCCGAAAGGCGCATATTTATGACCCCACAAAACTGCAATTCTTTCCCCATTAACCGACTCTCTATCTCCAGTAGTTTCCGAGATGCCCATAGAGAACATCGTAGGAAACTCACCCTGTATAGTATTTTGAAACTAACTATTGTTATTATTTGACTAGTTTAATTTGATGAATAAGGCTAGATTAATTTAATTTCAAATAAATTTGATCAGATTTTTTTTTCGTATATTCTGCTACCAGAAAACCAAGATTATATGATAACGCACTTTTCAACGAAGTTATTTTGAACAAGGAATCACCCCCTAAAGTTTTTCGCATTTGTTTTGAAACACCCTGTATACAAGGGTAATAGGGTTCCCGTTTTTACCCTTTGGGTACGGAACCCTAAAAATTCATACTGATAGCATTTTCCGTAAAACTCATTTGTTAGAGAGTGACAGAGAATAGATTTTTGCTACTTTTTGAAACCTACTCCTTTAGTATGTTATTATTGATTACTATCGATATTTTTTTTTCTGAAAATTTGAAACTGCCCATTCCTAGGTAAAAGTAATAGGCGACAACCACACACAGAAACTCTCTAATATAATATGTATTTAAAATTTTAATTATTTATCTAATAACTGATTATAGTTCAATAATAATATTAATTCTCTTTCTGTATACTTATATGTATTAGACACATTTAAACATAGTTTTTTCTCTTTTTCAATTCCAGGAAGAACTTTCCAAGGATCAGATAGCATGTAAGTAGATTAATATAGTTAATTAATAAAATTGCTAGTATTTATATAATATTTAAAAGCGATTTAAATAGTTTGAATAAGCATCTAGAATTTATAATTAATACTGAGATTTATGTTTCATGTCTTTTTAATCATCTGTATATATTATTTAGTATATCTGTTACTAATACAGTTGATTATTTTATCAGTTTTTCAAAAAATAATAAAATAAAAAATTCAAGAACTCTGAATATTCGCTAAAACATTTTTTCAAAAAGATTTTTTTTCAGTTCATACATGCAATATTTGTCCCAAAGTACTAAAATTCTTATCATTTCAATAAAATTCCCCTTATTTTTGCAGTACTCAAAAATGCTTTTGATACATTCGATGTGGACAAAAAAGGGAGTATTGGAGTTGTCATGATTGGCACCATTTTGAGTATGTTAGGAATCCAAACCACGGAAGCAATGCTAGCTGAAATCATTGCAGAAGTTGATGAAGATGGTAGGTAAACGGTAAAAAATAATAATAAATTATTCAACAAATAAAATTTTTATAATACCGTATATTTGATTCTTTATTTTATATTTGATTCTTTGAAAATTACTTGCTATTTTGTTATTATTCAGAATATTCAGTAATAGTCAGTAATATACAGGGTTGTTCACCACATACGACACGGAGTATTGTAGCTAAACGATTAGATTTTTACAAATTGTAAGTTTTGGGTTCGTTGAAGGACTACACAGTGTTCCAAATAAAAAAAAATATCAAAGTTGTATTTTTTTTAAATGGAATACCCTGTATATTATTACATTTTTAGTTTCTACGATTAAAATAAAGGTAAATTTGATAAAGGTTTATTACACTTAAACCTTACCGTTTTTGAAATATTTTCAATTTTGTGAAATTGCAGTCAAAATTTTAAGGCTTCATTTCTCCAAGCGTATCAAAGTTTTTAATACTAAATATTTACTGAAGTTTATTTATTGATCAGTTATTGTGTTGCAATAATAAAAATTATACTACCTTATACAGAGTGTCTAAAATTTTATTTTACATAATTACTAGCTTTAAACGGCAATGACTTGTTAAATTTAAATGGAACACCCTGTATATTTTATGAGAATCAGATGCACAATTTAATTGTCTATCAAATTGTATTATACCATTTTTTACCTATAGCTTCAAGTTTCCGTAGAAAATGCATTTTCATGTAATTTTAAATTCATTTATCAATATACCCATGGAATACTGACATTTTAAATTATTATTAAAGATGTACCAAATTTTAAAGAGTACAGATACTAATATTGTCGATATAGTTTGTTTATTTCATTAAAAATAGAAGAAAAAACTGTTTAAATATTTGTTAAAGAGGACCAATTAATATGATTCCAGTATTCAAACTACATTAATTGACTGTTTGCGTTGATTAATAATAATTGCTCCAAAAACTAAAAAACTGAATTTTTTATGTGTACTAGACAGTGTGGTAAAAAGTAACACCTTAAAAATGATATTTCATTTTTTGACAAATGCTTATTTGTAACAAGAGAGACATCCATTTTTATAACTTATTATTATATTGATTTCTGATTCAAATCCACATTTATTTAGAATAATTTATTCATGAATATAATTAAGTATGTAATTAATTAGTATTTTGGTGGAAATAATGGTGGTATATTTAATTAATGGTATACTCTTTTATGAAGATTTAAATAGTTTTCTTTTTGCATACAAATGGGCTAGTAATATTATCATTTTGCTAAAAACGATAATATTACTAGCCTGTACATTTTGTTGCACATTTGTTGCTTTAAAAACAATCTAAAATGTCAATATTCCATGGATATATTGATAAATGAGGTCTAAATTATAAGAAAATGCATTTTCTACGAAAACTTGAAGGGATAGGTAAAAAGTGGTATAATACAATTTGATAGACAATTAAATTATGCATCTGATTCTTCTAAAATATACAGGGCGTTCTATTTAAATTCAACAAGTTATTGCCGTTTAAAGCTAGTAATTATTTAAAATAAAATTTTAGACACTCTGTATAAGGTAGTATAATTTTTATTATTGCAACACAATAACTGATCAATAAATAAACTTCAGTAAATATTTAGTATTAAAAACTTTGATACCCTTGGAGAAATGAAGCCTTAAAATTTTTACTGCATTTTCACAAAATTGAAAATGTTTCAAGAGCGGTAAGATTTAATTGTGATAAACCTTAATAAAATTTACCTTTATTTCAATCGTAGAACCTAAAAATAGAATAATATACAGGGTGTTCCATTTAAAAAAATACAACTATAACATTTTTTACTTATTTGGGACACTCTGTATCTTGTAAAATTATTTCTAAATTGTAGCTCTAATAGTCCTTCAACGAACCCAAAACTTAAAATTTGTAAAAATCTAATTGTTTAGCTACAATACTCCGTGTCATATGTGGTGAACAACCCTGTATATGAAAACGATATTTAGAGTTGCGGTAAAATAATGTGAATTTTGTAATCGGCTGTCATTGATTTATTTATTTATATAATAGTACCGTATGATCGAAAAAAAAATGGCGTCCAATTGGCTTGGAAATGACGATCGATGACATTTCCAATATAATTTTACATATAAAATGACAGCGATCTTCATTTCATAGCCATCGCTGACGCCGTTTTTATTCGATCATACGGTATATTGTTTTATTAGGAGTAAAAATGAAACTTTTTGTAGCGAGGCTGTACACTTCTTTAAGGAGGGTCCACATTTAGTAACATGTTATATAACATTGCTATTTAACAAGCTACATGTAACATGTTAAAAAACCGGGAGCCGTTCACATTATAGTTTTCGTAGTCATGAATCGTTTTGGCGAGAAAGAGGTTCAGCTCGCAGCAGCGGCGTGCGTAATTATTTTTGAACTAAGGGAAAGAAAGTCGAGAAAAAAAGCGGTTTTGAGTCCGCCATAGCCTACCAGCAAGATCTAGATACAGTTGAACTCAATTAGCTTATCTTTTCAATACTTGCCTCGGCTGTTTCTCGTGGTGTGTTTCTGTCTTTTAAAAACATTAATAATTTACAGTACGTCTCGTCTGCTGGATCTGCGTCAATGAAAGGAATGCAGACAAAAAACATTTAAATAAACAGCAATATATTCTATACGTCGATTTGACGAGTGCGTCACCGCAAATCGCTCCGCCCACTCATTTTATTGGCTACTTGCAAATTTGTCGAATTTTTATTGATGGGACGCGTCGTCTATTTTTTACGAAAAACATCGAGAGAATATCGTTTCCCCTCTCACGGATACCCCGTAGCTACAGAACGGACAGACGTACTGTAAAAGCAAAAGCAAACCATTTTGAATTATCCACTTCATCTAAACCATGCAGTTCTGATTTGCATTTCTTTTGTTCCCCTGGAACTGGCCTATTAGATTACGCATTTTTTCTCAACTTTTTCTGTTTCCAAATACATACTATGAAATGAAAATCGCTGTCATTTTATATGGAAAATTATATGGGGAATGTCATCGATCGTCATGTCCAAGCCAACTGGACGGGAGGCCGACGGGACGCAGTTTTTTTTTGATCATACGGTATTATTGATCAGTAAATAAACAAACCAATATCAGCTCACCACACTAAGATTCTGTCGCGCACGTCCCTGAAAATTTGAGCGGCTAAACTAGAAATTTAGCAAGGGTGGACGCGTTGTTTCATGTTACAATAGCAATGTTGCACAACATCTTTTGATCTTTACCGACTACAAATGGATAACATCTAGCAAGTTATATAGCATCGAAATTTGCTAAATATAACTAAAAAATATGTAACATGTTATATAACTTTGCTATATAGCAGTGTTATATAGCAAGTGTGGACCGTCCTTTACAGTAACACAACAAAAAAAATTGAGTGTAGGTACATTTTTGAATTGACTTGTCTCAACTTAGTACACAAATATGCGAAAATATTGTTTTTTATAAAATATCGTTTTTTGATTTCGAAAAACAGAAAATCTGATATTCATTGACGTCAGAACCAACCTACTTTTGAAAAGCGTGTTTCATAGAGGTCTAAAATTTATATGATGGCGTCAGTGGTTTATATTATTACACAGTACATGACGAAGTGTTTTTCTGTAAAATAAATGTTGGTATTTGTATATAGTTACCTATAATGTGAATTAATAATTGGTTTCAATCAACCGTGAGGTTGTCTACTTAGAACGCCTGCATCAGTGGTTACCATATCGTAGATATTTAGGATTGCTAAAGATGTTATTATTGTTCACTATAAAAACGGCTTATTTATATTTACGCTTTTTCCAATGAGTTTCCCTGTGGACAACCAACAAGCTTCCGACCACTTTATATTGTGCTGTTTTTAACCAAACATACTTCATTTGCTGTCCTCCATTCGCGAATTTCAAGTTCCAGAGCTTTACGCCCTGGGATACTCGAGAACGGTTCTGAAAGGAGCTGTGCGCGATAGCCTGGTGCCTCCATATGGCGCGGAACAATTCTGAACTTTATGACTCAATTGAATAGAGTGAGAGTATCGCGTTCTTGAACAGTTCAGAGCTGCACAACTGCGTGAATGGAGCACAGTAATTGTTTCACATTTTTGTACATGTGTTTTGTGCTCGTTAAGTCGTAAATTTAGAGGACGTTTAGTCTCTCCATTATACGACTCACCGCATTCACAAGGTACCCAAGGTAGATGCACTGTTTCCCTTGGTTTAATGATTCCGGTCTTGTTTTTGTTAGGACGTTTCTTAGAGTCGATCCAGATTTGAAGACAGTTTTTTTTTTGACTATTCGCCTGATCTTTTCTGGCGTTATTTTTACATTTGGAATAGTGAAGAGAAAGAGAGAGAGCATTCTTTTAGATGTATTTTCACTGTATTTAAGAGTCAATTACGCTGTACTGTTCGAGTCGCTCTCAGGGGTTGGGTAAAGCTGGTGTGTGGCCGAAAGCTGTCGTGTTAAGCCACACCCAAAATTCCAAACACGCGTGCTTTGATTAAGGTTTGATTAAGATTTGCAGAGCTTCAGCATTTACCATGAAATAGGGATCAATTTGTTACAAAACCATATAAATTATACATCACTGTAATCACAAAACTTCAATCTATTTCCGTATTGTAACGGAATTTTAAATTATGTCTTTATTTTAGAGAAAATTTAATCCAAATGTAAGGAATATTTTGTTGATGTTTGACCATCAAAATCTTAAAAATAAAGAAGTTGTTTAAAAATGTGCTACAATACGGACATAGTATAATCATTTATCTTTTATTTTCTTCTTCATTTGTGGTAAAAATACCTAACCAGTTTTACATATAACGTTAAACGCAGAACCCTTATTTTGCTACTTTTTCGGACTAATGAAATGGACTCTTGCATAGACTTTAGACCTCTGTAATCGTATTTTAAAGTAATTTCCACCGATTTTAATGTTCCCAAACCATTTTCAAGAAAAAATAAA